ACTTTGTTTCCCCTGCCTAGGAGCCTTCCTCTTTCCTTTTTCCAGCTACTCCTTTTCTTCGTTTGTTTAAAGATAACTCTCTTCCAGAAACTCTCCCAGACCACTCCAGCTGGATTAGGTACATTAATATTACTCTGTGCATATATTTATGTCATAGAACACACTATGGTGATTGTCTGATCCATAATGTCTCCCCACTTAAAAGACTTTCTTAAAGGTGACATCTGAGTCTTTCATCTATGTATCTTCAGCATCTAGTTAAGAGCCTAGCACTTAATAAGCATTCAATTTCTTTTTTGTGAATGAGCATTTAGGATGATGAGAATAATTCCATCAACAAATCTCTATTAACATTCTTCACCCTAAACCTCAAAGACTTCCATCTAGCCTAGTGCGACCTGAATAGCGCTGAGTGACAATGTTTGACAGTCTCTTGGTCTTGCTTCAACTTACATCAAAAGTAGTCCTATATTACAAATAGGTGTGTTTTTTTAAACTGTTGGTAAATAAGGAGGCTTTTTGGAAGGCAGGATGTACTATTATATATGAATACAATGTTACAGTGATTGGATTTCAAGGTAGCAAGTACTAAAAAGGCAATTTAAGGTTATATAAAACTAAATCACCATAAGGGGAGGGGGAAGAAAGGGGCCATTAATATTAGCATGTATAATGTGGGGGGAGGCACGGGGAGGGCTGTGCAACACAGAGAAGACAACTAGTGACTCTACAGCATCTTACTACGCTGATGGACAGTGACTGTAATGGAGTTTGTGCGGGGGACTTAGTGAAGGGGGGAGTCTAGTAAACATAATGTTTCTCATGTAATTGTACATTAATGATACCAAAAAAAACCGGAACCACCATAGCCTCAATTGTTCTCTAGGGTAGATGATATAGTGCTTGAGCAAAGAGAAGGAAGAAGAAAAAAGGCTTTCTCCTTATCCCCAGTTCCCTCAAGAACAGTTTAAATTTGCCTTTGACATTTTCTTTCCCACTTCTTTCTGCACACCTCTTCACCCAGTCTCCAATGTCCTTACCTTGGCTTTTGTCCCTAATTATAGTCCTATTCAAGCCAGTGGCAAGCATTTAGTCCTACCCCTAAAATGCCCCAGAGTAATCTTCCCTCTCACTCCATTGGTGCAGAATAGAAAGAAAACAAGGAAAAGCTAAATTCACACAAATCTATAAATATCTAACTTTATCTTAATTCTGGGGTTATTTAAATTACTCATGGAGAAGTGTATTTCAAGCATTGTAGCATCCAAGATTCGTTCTTCATATTGTTCTTTCTATAAGATGTGGAATCTTTATCATGCTCTTACCAGGGAAAGCCCAGTCTCATTATTAATGACTTATTATGGCTGAGATTTAGTGTGCTTTGATGATGTGATATCTCTGAAATTGTCATACTTCTAATACTGAATAAACCAAATTCTTTTAAGTTTCTTTGTAGATATAGTAGAATGTTTTTTAGTAAGTTTCATTCTTTCTTTTAGTGTCAAGTGTTGAATCACTGTTTCTGTGCAATGAAAAAATGAACAGGTACTAGATAGCATGTATTAGAAACTAAGTCTCATGAAAATGCCTCCATTAAGTCACTTGGATACCTTATAGTTCTGATCCTTTAGAACCACTATGTACAATATCACTAACTTAAAATGATGTAATAAAACAATTTAAAATTTAACATCACAACTTACTAAAGTATTCTCACCAGGATATATTTAAATAATCAAATCCAGATTGGTACAGTGATCATTTCTGGCCTAAGTCACACCCTATCTCTGTTTACTATAGATTTCTTTTTGTTGTTATTGAAGCAAGAAAAATTATAATTATTGTTGGGAAGCAATTTTAATTCCTTATTTTTATTTAAGTACTGATAGAGTTAATTCATATGTTGGGACCCACAAAATGGGAGGCCACCCCATGTGGGGCATCAGAAATGTAAACTTATATCTATGTTAAAACTTTATAGTCCCTTCAAGGCTTAACAACAGGCATAAGCCTTTTTGACTCTACCTAAGATTTTTTAACATGAAGTTCATGGATAGAATTCAGGGGTTGTGTGAACTTGGATGGAGAATAAAAATTATATTTTTACTGATCTCTAACTGAGAATTAGCATTTTCTTCAATTTTTAGTGTACCCAACAGCTGAACATATGTCTCTCACTAATAGGAATCACAGATCCTTCTTTATATCATATTACAAGTGTTGCAAACTCTGGAAATGCCATTTATCATTATATCAAAATTAAGTCTTTATTAGATCCACCACTAGATCTCACTGTATTGATAAAACATATAGTCCTATATGAAAAACTTATAACTTATATTTCTTTAATATTTTGAGACTTTATTTTGGTCTGGATTCTATTTTATGCATTTATAAACATTATTCAAAGCAGAGTCCACAGCTTCACCTGACTGCCAAACTGGTTGTGGCACAATAAAGGTAAGAACTCTGACCTCAAATTTGTCCCAGTCTGCTGTACTATTGAGAAAATTAACATGTTCCATTATACTTCCCTACTGAAGCCTATTTAGGTAAGGGTACACAAATTGGCTTCTCTGGAACTTTTATTCATGGACCTTCTGGATATTTTGACTTCCCTTTGGGTAGATAGGAATGTTTCCTACCACTCTTTTGCCTCTGACCTTCTGAAATAACAAAGTAAGTCATATTAAGTCAAAATAAGAGTCAGATGGCATTGAAAGTAGAAATATAAAACATCCTATTCTACTTTTTAAATTAAGAGACAATATGTAATTCCATTTAATACATTTTCTGAAATTAACGGCATGAGTTCAAATTCTACTTCTGGTGTTCATTAACTATGTGACCTTGTGATAGTAACTTAAAGAAACTGATACACAGAGAAATTATTTGTAAAAGGGAATTAATAAGCACAGTGCATGGTACATGGTAGGTGTTCCATAAGTATTATCTATATTATTATTATTATCACATTTGTTTCACCCTGTGGCCAGTTTATGCCTGGCTAGTAACTTTCTTATATTTATACAGCATTGTAGTCTACAGTGCCCTTTCACATACATTATGACATTTAAACCACACAATAACCCTGTAAGGACAGCTATTGTAATTCGGTTTAGTGTTAAAGAAACTAAGGTAAGTAACCATACAGTATCACACAAATGGGAAGCAACAGAGCAGGAACTCAAATCTGGATTTCTCCCTCCACTCCAATTGCCTAATTTTGTGTTTCTACTCTATCAGACTTCTATACCAGTTGAAAAAAACAAAGATGATTGTGGTTGGAAAGAAGCAGGTATCCTACAGGCCATGAAGCGAGCACTTTAGTGCTTTGCCTCACAGGGTGGTTCTCAGACCAATCTGTATCATCTGCGAGCTTGTTAGAATCTCAGGCTCTATAGGGGCCTACTAAAACAAAATTCGCATTTTTTGAACAAAATCTCTAGGCGATTCACATAACAGTTTTGAGAAGTACTGTTTCACTAATTGCTCTAGTGACACTATTATGATCACTTGAACAGTGTATATTAGCCCATTTGTCCCAGACCTATTGAGTTTTCATAAGAAAGACTTTGAGGAAATAACTTGCTGCTCTCCTTTTTTAAGAAGTATATGTACAAGTTTATATTTCCATTTAATTCTTAAAGATCTCCACTTTATTAAGCGGGGTCATTTGACAAATGTTAGAAAAGTGACCAGGTTAAGTTACCCTTAAATTTCTTTTAGAAATGTCTTACTAGGGTTTGACTGAAGAACGCACTAGATAGCAAAATCACTCGCCGTACTTTTACACCTAGCTGAATAAAACCGGCCAATCCCATCTTTCTGTTTCTTCTGGATGTTTCAATATCGAGTTTTCGGACCCAAAACTCTGATTTCTTGACCAAGTTTCACAAGTTTGTGGCCCTAGGAATTGAAAGGAACAGAAGGAAAACGATTTTAAGCTTATTCTGATACCTAAACCTTGGGTTTAGTGAACGCTGATTACAGAAGCAAATACCGCCCCCCCCCCCCATCACTATCTTCCATTCTAATCAGTTTATAGTTGAGCTGATTCATAGGAGTGTTCTAACTCTGTGAACGGGTCTGTAGGCTGGCTCTTGTCGGTATTGATCCTCTAGGGTGAGAAATGCAGATTTCGGCAGGTGGGAGCGCTGATTAGCGGTCCGCCGGGCTCTACAGATATGATTGGGGTGCCTCCTCCCACTAGTTAATCAACCCAGATCGGCAGGCTAGTATAATTCGCTCACCTGCTCCACCGGAAACTTCAAAAGTCGAATCAACCAGGACCAAAGGTGCCTAGTAATTAACCTATGGTACCTCCCACCGCACATTCCTTATTGGGCGCGTGAGGGACGTAGGCGTCGGCGCGCGACCTCACTAGCCCGGGGAATTCCATTTCCTCCCTCCCGCCTGCATCAGCATTCATGGGCGGTGCTTCCCGGGCGAAGGCCCGCCTCAGCGCGAGCCGATGCCTCATTGTGTCTCGCGAGAATTTGCGGATTTGGGGGCGGACCCCCACAAGGAAGAGCGCACAAAACTGCCCGTAAGTCATTGCTGAGCTACAGCTCCTGTTAACCAGCCACGAGGTTCTCGCGAGATCCGCCTCCTCAATACCAAGTGAGGAAATTGGGGAACGCTGCTGGGAGGGGCGTGGGGGTCGACCGAGCAGCTGCCGCTTCCATTACCTTCCGCCCATGGTCTCCTTCCGGTTCTCGATGCTTCTCTGAATCTAAGGGTTTCCGCCGCTCGTCTACCCTTCCCCCAGCCCACGACCCGCCTCCGGCCCCCGCCCTCCCAGTCCAACCTCCAATCTGTTTAGTAAGAAGGCGTTGTTCCGAAAAGAAGGAAAAGGGGGTAGCAGATATCCTCGGCCTTGGACGTGGGAAGGAACCCGTTCCCCTTCAGCCTTAGGTCTCGTCTTGTGCTCCCGACGGCGGCGGTGGCGGACTGATACGCGGCGGTGAAGAGGCAGGAGGGGGGGAGGGGCGGAGCGTGGCAGCTGGCAGTAGTTCCGTCAGAGCGGACATCTTGTGGCTGTGTCGTGCGCGTGAGCCCCGTAGGGCTGGGGAGGCACCAGCTGCCGCGCGGGGAGGAGGCCGCGGCCGCAGTTGAGGGAGGCCCCGGCCCCTCTGTACGCGTGGGTGTGGACGGCTAAGGGAAGGGAAGGGGGCCGGCCTACTAGCCGGACGGGGAAGAGGGGAGATAGAGGCCCTGGCGGCTCGAGTGCCTGGCCTGTAGGGTGGGGTGGGGTAGGGTAGGGTAGGCTGGAGGAGCCAGGGCCTCTCCTGCTTGAGGGGAGGGGAATGGGCGCGTCCTCGTGCCGGAGCCGGGGCCTCTGGGACAGCCCCGGCGCGCCGCGGCTGTGGCAGGTCGGGCGCGTGCGGGAGCGCGCTGGAAGGCGGAGTGTACGGTGGCGTCCGGGGCGCCACAGAATAGATCTAGCTGCGGGGACAGTCACGCACATCAGGCCTCTCCTTTATTTCCTTCTTCTCCCCGGCCGCATCTTTGAGCAGAAAGCGAAAGAAGTCCGGAGTCTCTTGTTCCCCCTCCCCCCAGCCTTTCTTTGCCCTAGTGACGCCGGCATAGCGCCGACTAGGCCCCGGCTCCTCCTCTGCCGGGCTCCGGACCCTGCCCCTCACCCACCCCTTTCTCCTCCGCCTCTTCCTCCCACCCCGGTCTCTTCCTTTCGGGAGGCCGGGAAGTCGAACTTGTAGCCACCCCTTCGCTCTTCCAGTCACCCTCGCCCCCTCTTCGGGCTGAAGCACAGCATAGAGGCTGTTGGTGGCTTTGCCACGCCACCCCACCCACCCCGGATCGCGACCGATTTAAGGGACCTGGATTCATCAGGGTCTCTCCGGGGCCTATGCGAGTGCTGATCTGCTCCGTTTTTGCAAAAGGCGCCTGTGTCTGGCAGAGTCGGTGTGAGACGAAGAGACGGTCCTTCCCTGCCGCCCGGATAATCAAGAGTTTTGGCCGGACCCTTGAGCACAACACCGAGAGAGAGAGAGAGAAGCCAGACGAAAAGCACAGACTATGGCGCTGAAACGGATTAATAAGGTAACCAGTGGGGCTGAAGAGATTGGGGTCGTGGGAGGAAGGAAGGTTCACGCCCGGAGGAAACCATGGGGGTGGAGGGTATAATTATGAAAAGATATATCCTTGGGTTACTTCTTCCATTGGGGGATGGGGAATATGGACATCCTTCATAAAGAAAGGTTTAAAGCTAGGGAGCAGAACACTTGTGGCAAGTGAGGTGTTGACTTGAGTATGTTTCAGTGGAATCGGTGCAGATTAGGGAGGGGGGAGTGGTTTCAGTGCTCAGTTCTGCTGGTAGAACAATTAGTCCCTTTTTGGGGGTCGGAATTGCTGCGACGCTCCAGCAGATGTCATAGTTCCCTATCCTCTGTGTTTGAAAACTTATTTTTAGTTCTAAGATCAGTGCCTTCAAAGGGGAAGACCACTAGGAAACGTGGGAGAAGATCGTAGAAATCCGTCGGGTTCCGAACTGTATTAGTGGTTGGGGTGGAAGTCTGCCAGCCGAAGAGTGATGAATGAGGCTAGTCGGGAACTCTTAAGTCGACTCTGGGCATATTACACAAGAGTAAGTCAGGTTGGAAGGAGATCGGCTGACAGAAAGTTACCACTTCCTATGTTTTGTACTGAAGGCTTTTCACCCGAAGCTGTTTATCTGAGGCACACCGGGAACTGATGTAAAGCTTTCTGGAAGCTCCTTTCTGGCTGGAGGAGGGGGGTAAGGGGTGCGATAGCCTTTTGCGAGGTTAGATGCACCTATTTTTGCCTCAGCCCATTTAACAATACCTTCGGGGAAAAATGTTTCTCTACTTAAAATGTGGTTTGATAGTAAACTATCCATCTAAGTTGGGGAAAAATGGGATTTTTCGGAGTGAGGGGAACCTCCACCTCCGGTGGTTTAGTCTCATTTTCTTGCTCTAACTTCTATCCCGCATTTTAAGATGGCGGCTGCTTTAACTGGTTCAGGCTCTTTCCGGCATCTCCTTTTGTAATATGAAATAATATTCTTCGTTAAATGTTAACTTGTACTTACGGTTGGTTGTACGCTGCTCTAAGACCTGCTCAAGACTTAACTATATTCAAACTCTCAGACTGTAGTTCCCTTTTTTGTAACCTGTGTGTGTTGTGTGTGTGGTGGTTGGTTCTTGCACAATCGAGGGTGGAGTATTTACAGCTAACTTGAAAAAAATGTCATGGAATAAATTCAACTTTACTAAAACTAGGAGACGGAAGAGGTGGTGGGTTGGTTAGAAACTGGTTCTGATAGGTTACTTTTTAAAAAAGTTCTGTGTGGAAAGAATGACAAGGATTTGGCTTTACCGAAATAGACTTGATGTTGCTTAATTTTAATACGTGTGAGTTTTATTTAGCAAAACTGGTATTTTGTGAAAGATGAAAGCTTAGATCTTCCCTCAGTGTATGGATGCTAAAATACTAGATTTTATTTTAGATCATCATTGCATTGTCATTGTGGGCTTACGTGAAATACAAACCTAAATCTTTGTAGTTCTGAGATGATGGACAGGAAGAAAAACTTTCTAGAAGTTGAGACTAAAAATAAAAAGGATTATAAACTGACCACATTGAAGACTAGCAGCACATTGAGAAGCACTATGTTCTGTATAGTTAATACAAAGAATAAAACATTCACTACAACTCAAAACCTTTTAGCTGTGGGAGTTAATTCAGATCACTACGATGTGAAATAATTTCAAATCCATAGCTTTTTATGCATGTGGAACAGACACATGAAGGAAGGTCTCAATTGATTTTTTTTCTTTTGCAGGTGATACCCAGCTGCTGTGACACCACTTTAATGATTTAATAGCTCTAGAGAGGCAATATAATGGTTAAGAGTGTAAACTTTGGAGCAGAAATGCTTCAGCTAGAACTCTAGGACTGGGCAAGTTACCTGTATGCCTTAAAATGAATGTTATATTCAAACAATAAATGGTTGAGTGCCTAGGATGTACCAGACACTATTCTAGATGCTAGAGATGCAGCAATGAACAAAACAAATTTTAAATTCCTAGGAGTTTTTTTGGGGGGGAAGGGAGATTAAATAGGTTAATGTGTGGTTTTCAACAGGCCACTGCACTTGGCATTCAGATTATTACTACTGCTATATTAATATCACTTTTTAATCTTCTAAACCTTACTGAAGAACTTATGTGGTCTAATACTCTTGTTTCTTGTTAGTACCACATTTTGAAGATTTGTATAATGAAGTTAACACTTTACAAATAGGAAAAACAAGTGTTTATGTGAGACATTGATTGAAGCTATAGAAAATTTTTGACATCCATGTGGTTTTGGTGTTCATCTGTTACTGTCAGAATCAACTTGGTGAAACTTAGGTAAAATAAATGCATTCCAGATCCAAAAGAATTTAGCAGGTGGACCACTCTGATGGAACGAACATGCTCTTTTAGTCACCTCTACTCTAGAAATGAGGTCAAGTTGGCATTGATGTTAGTATGATTTTTCTTGTGTCCTGTACCTATTTTGAATTTATTCTTGTCTGAATTCCCTGCATTCCAAATACTAAGATAATGTCTGTATTCCTCATAGATATTGTATTGAGATGCTTATTGGAATGTTTTAAACATCAGTAATTTGATCAAGCCTTTGAGTTTATTTTCCTAAAGTTTATGTTGTTAAAGTTCATTTGAATATTCCTTAGACCAAGCAGCTTTATCAAACTTTACTTTTTTTTTTTTTTTTTTTTGCATCTCTCATATTTATTGATCAAATGGTTGTTAACAACAATAAAATTCTGTATTATGTACTTAGACAAGCTGTTCTCTGGTCTTAATGGGTCTATTTATTAAACCAGAGGAATCAAAATTGAGAGCCCAAAAGTGATTAGTACTATATGGGGGCCATAGACAGTTTTATTCTTTCTAATGAAATAACTACATTGCATGTGTTTTGGGGAAGTTTAAGGAGAACTTTACTTTTAAAGCCAAGCCTATAAATAATTCATGCCTGGAATGTTTGAAGTGTGTCAGACTGCTTGAAAACTGTATTAACTCATTTAATCTTAAAACGACCTAAGGAAGTAGGTATCCTGTTTTTGAGATTAGAAATCTGAGGCATAGAAAGATAACCCAGAGACCTATGACAGAGTTGGGATAAGAACCTAGGCAGTCCACGGCTCCTCACAGTGTTTGTGCTCTTAACCACTATACCGTAGTGGTGTAGTATGGTTTTTGGTATTCAAAAGATTTTCTCTTGCATGTATCATTCTGCTACTAATAATAGCCAGGATGTAGCAACTACTGTGTACCAAATACTGTTTCTAAGCCCTTTATGACTTTCAACTCATGTAATCCTCAAAACAACCCTGTGAAATAGATGATCTTACTCTATTTTATACATGAGGAAACGGGTCCAGAGAGGTTAAGTTACTTGTCTGTTGTCACATAGCTCGTAAATGACTGAGATTCAAATCAGATAGTGTACCTCAAGCACAGGCTGTTAAACTCCATGCTGTACTGCTGTTTTGAACCATTTCCCATTTTACAGTTAGGTTGAATGAATGCTGTGGTTTAACTTTACTTGGGTTCTAACTAATTTGTGAATTAAGGTTTTAGCTAACATAAGTTTTATTAGGTAGTGAATCTCTTTTTGGTCTTCAAGGACTATGGGAACTACGGTGTGCCAACTAATTGCTAGGGGTATCTTAAAACAAAATACCCTTAACCCAAGGGGTCTGTTGGCTGGATAATCCTGTGTTGTGTCTTGTGTGTGGTTCTAAGATCCTCAAGGCTTATTTATAGTTAGCCAAATTTGTAGGACATTGTGTAACTAAGGGGTGCTGATCACATAATGGCCTGAATTATTTATTTAATTTTAATAAGAGGGATTTACTTTCAACCATCATGCTTATCTGTAATCTCATTTTTGTTATACATATGTAAAGTTAAATATTCTTAATAGCACTGGGGGAAAGTTACTTACAACTAGATACTTCTGTCAAATTATGTTAGTTCGTGGGTTCAGTACCTTTCGTCATTCATTAAGTCAATTCTTGAGGATTTTCCACAGTATTCTACTATAATATCTTTCTATTACAAAAGAAGGCACTAGATTCCTTACGTTGAGATCAAAATGTCTCATTAAATTATCAAATCCTAGATTAGCTTTTGCATTCTATTACATACGTTACTGTGAATGTGGATTTTGACATGAGTTACATTAAGATACCAAAATATTTAGATACCTTATTTAGATAAGAGTTTTTAAGGAATCAAAAGTTTTTAAGATATCAAAATATTTTGATATCTTATTTAGATAAGAGTTTTTAAGGAATATAGGTACCTGGGGTCTTACCAGACTTAATGAATCATTTTCTCTGGGCACAGGCAGAATTTTGAAATGTTCCTGGGTGATTCTGAAACTTCCCTCTGGTTAAGAATCACAGACATGGGGGTAATCATTTAATCAATACTTAACAGAGGTTTTACTGTTTTGCAAGTGGTCTAGTCTCAGGAGGTAAAAAATAAGGAAGCCTGTCATTACACATGAGAATTTCTACTTTGAGTGGAGGAAAAAGCATGTAAACACATGAATAGGGGTTTGTCACTTTACACAGCCTTCCAAGAATATAGGTCAAGTAGGGAAGACATTTAAAGAAACTAAGGAGAATCTTTTATCAGATCAGATTTACCCATTTTTGTTAAAGATAGGTTCATCTAAATATCTTCACTGCGTTTTGCAATTATAGTGTGACTTCTATAACTATAATTTGCTTCGCCAAAACAACCCAGAATTTTGAAATTAACGAAAAGGATTTTTCACTCTTTAATTGGAAATTTGTGTTCTTTGGTTTTGCTACTGTAGCAATGATCTTTCAAAATTAAATAGTGTAATTAAGAATAGGTGCATTTAGTGTCTTACTAGCCAATTTACCATGTTACATAAAATTTATCAATTTCCTCATCCTTTTGTGGGGAGGGGAAAAGTTAAAAAGTATTTTATACTTTGCCCAAACATCCAGTTTTTAATCTTTTAAGTATACT